AGTGGTGTATGATGAGTGGTGTATGATGAGTGGTGGTTGAACAGCTGTTGAATGTCCGTAACACGGAAGTTTTGCACACTAAACTTCCTTTGATAATTGGGCAGCTAGGCATTCATTCCTTTCGCATTTTCGGCTTTTTCTCAAGGCCTTCCAAACATCTACAGCAAATTGAAAGCCCTGACCCAAACCCTTTGAATGATCGATGTAAGCTGGGGACGGAAGCATCAGGGTATAAGCAATTCAGTTGGATGTGCTGAATTGAGGACACAACCTAAATGTGTTGAGAAGCCGATTGATCATGATCGAATGGATGCGAGTCAAACCAATCATACCATATGTATTGCAGCCGTTCATGGTTTTGAACATCAACTGTAATCTTTTTAGCTGTTTTGGTGTATCTTGGTTGTACGCGGCTGTGTCCGTTAGCAACATTTTAGCTAAACATAGCCGGGCTGAGCTGCCCATGCGGTACTGAAGGCAGCTTCACCTCCGAGCTACTCCTTCCCTGAGAGGGCGGGATCCAGTGGAGTCGGTGAAGATGACTTTTGATGATTTTGTATTAAGAAACCTTCAAACTGTTTTGGGAGGTTTGAGGTTTGAGTCCTTCATGCAAAGAAGCCGTTCAGTGTCCCAAATACGCAAACCGCATGAGGGACATTCTGCGTTGGAAGTCTTCAATAACTTGCCAGTCAAAAAATATTCAATCTCGCTTTTCGCTGCCTTTGATCGGCGTCTATATAGCTGGTAGGATCGTGAGGGGCCCCTGCTAATGGGGGAGTAATCGGGGAGCCCCCTTATTGATTGGGTCCCCAATGGCCCGATTTGGTGCCCTGGAGTGTCAACAAGATTTATTCGACAGAATTGTGGTTGACCAACCAGGGAAGCTAGTTACTGTACCTCTGACAACCAGTAAGCCCTTAACATTCATGGTACATGACTGCTGGGCAAGTGACGAAAACAAGGACTGGATGGCTGGAATTCGGCAGTACTTACTCAACTTACTATATAATTAGATTCTACGCTTCCCTTCACTTCAGACTATCGGATTTCTGATTGGAGGCTGCATACTTGCACCACATGCACAACCTGCCTCGCGGCGCCGGTATGTCTCTAGGAGCCCCGGCCAAGCCAGCTTTGGCTCGATGCCTCATCCGTAGGCTCGTGGGATTCAACTGTTTGGAGAACCTACCAAACGGCTCTTGTCCACCCGTGTTGTTTTTGGACAGATAGCGATAGATAGTCAAGACTCTCTGATGGTCGTAACGATCGTCAAGTCCTGACAATTTGTTGGGCGTGTTCTCACAAACCACGGGGAACACCCCGCACATGGAGTTTTGGTGCTTGACGTGTTTCAACACTCAATTGAAAGCTTCGAGACTCCAAGGTATTGGCAGGTCATGCAGGGTGCAGTACACCAGGCCATGGTCGGCCTGCGCGGGCGCCCCCATGTCACACACGCAAGGAGTGCTGCGAAAGCGCCAGGAGTTCTAAGACTCATCCAACGCACAGATTTTACCACAGAAAACACCAACCAGGAGTTCCAAGGGTGTGGTTTGTAGACCCATCCAGTGAGTGCACCTTCGCCGTCTTCGCTGTGACACCCATTTCTGGCCTCTTTTCCAAAGGGAGACAGCTCCCCACTCTTCCTTGGCCCAGAAATCACACACGACTTGCCACTGACTTAGGGCTATCAGCGCTCAGCGCCGGCTTCTTCGCCAGGGCGCTCCCACTCAGCAGTGACGTCAGCGATCAGCGCCGGCTTGTGGTACGCTCGCTGCACGACCTCTGGCGCCGGCGTCGTGGCTTGGTTCGCTCAAATGAATCACGCAGTCACGCAGCCTATTGAACTATTGGATTTCGGCAATGGAAAATCCGTTTGCGTCCTACTCTTCGATCCCATGCAACTTCCAAACTTCGAAGCAAAGTGATGTAACAAAAAATGAGCTGTTGGTGGGCATCATCTGTGCCAAGGATTTTGGGGTCTGCGAGCCTCCTTCTCGACAGCAGCCTTCCAGAAGTGCGTGTGCCCTTGTGCCGGCAGATTGGATCAAGAACCCTGAGGTCTGTCTTGGCCTGCAAAACTAAAGGCATAAAACGTAGGCAACGGTTACATCTTCTCAAAGGGCTCTAGTTTCCATCTACGACTCCGGTGCTGTCACTCCCCGTGTGAAATCACAAGACCATCCGAACTGACATCCTCCAGCCTGCGTAACTCAACATTCACGTGATGAGAGATCTTAAACAATAAACCCACATGAGTTCCCCCAAAGCAATTGAAACCTTTCCAGGGGGTCAGGCCTAGTGCTAGTACTAGGTATATTCTTCCCTCCCCTTCATTGTTCATTGTTCCGGATCCAACATGTTTGCGACAATTTGCTGCACATGTGTCATATCATCGCATCATGGGCTGCACTTCAAACGGATAGGGCACCCCGAAACGACGAGCAACGCCGGGAACCCGGGCGAGCGCCAGTCTCGAGGCCATCCGCCGAATGGAGGACCATCGCTCCTGGTGACGTGGAAGACCCATGGAGAGATAGGGGTTTGGCATGGTTGTGCTGGTTTGGAGACGGAGACGTGGCATCCAGTTCCAATTGAGATGAATCGTCAGCTTTTCCCCAATTTCAGTGAGCAGAAAAGAAAGGTCTTTGCTTTCCATGCCAACCCACCGCTGTAAAAGTCCAAAGATTCCCTGATCGGAAAGCGGTCCTCTTCTTTTTTGACTTGAAGCTAATCTATATGTAGAGCCCAAATGCCAGCACCAATGCAAAGTGCTTGTCAGGAAAAGAAAGCATGGCACATGTGAATGTGGACCAAGTGTTCAAGGGGTTCTGCCTTTTTCTAATGGTACTGAGACAGAACAATCGGTCGCATACATCTTGAGCGCACATCGCGTCGTGCAGTCACAGGTTGCCTATCTTTTTTGTCCGTCGGGTGTATGTACAGGTTGCCTGATTTTGAGGTCGTCAGACGGGTTCGCTTCGCCGCTTGGTGTCAGTCATCCCATCAGGCTGGACAGACTTCCCATGGGTCCAAGCATCTGATTCGCCATGGATCCCATGGATCCCATGGATCCAGGTGCCTGCCAGCTACTGGAGGCAAACATGATAGGCAAAAAAAGCAAAGCTATTTCCCATGTATGTCCTATCCACCAAAGGATGTCGAACAAGAGACCAAAAAAGACGAAAAGAAACGCAACACGTTTCAATTCCAATCTCAGGGGCCATTGGACCTCCCATAGCTCCGGCCATAGCTGCAGGATCAGGCCTTGTGGGAAGAAGCCCCTGAGTCACCTTGAGCCAGCTGGTCTCGTCAAGCAACCTCTTCTTCTGGCGACGGTTGTCACGAAAGATGAGGAACATGAACAGGCCCAGCAGGAGCATAAGCGCTTTGAATCTTCTTCTAACCCGACTCATTTCCACGTCCTTCTCTTCCTTTGATTCATTCTTGGCATCCTCTTCGGGTGGCTTATCCTTCACGGAGTCGGAGGAGTTTTTGAGCGCCCAAATCCACTCGACCACATCTCGAAGGCGGTAGAAAGTGACAGTCACATGCTCCTGAAGCTGCTCGAGCATGATACTATTCATCTCCAGCATCTGTGTCATGCGCCACATGCTTTCAGCATAGCTGCTGCCCATTCCCTGTCCCATCATTCCAGGATACATGCCACCGTACATGCCACCGTAGCCGCCATAGCCGCCATACATTCCTCCTCCATACCCCCCGTACATCGAGCGCCCATACATGCCGCCATAGCCGCCGCCGTACATCGATTCGGCGTTGAACGAAGAGCGCGGGTAGGACACCGACAGAAAGCCGCGAGCGAACGCGACTTCGGACGGCCGAGAGCGAACGCGACTTCGGAAGTGTCCCAAATTCACCTGTTCTGTTTTAGCACGTATGGTGCGACGGTGCGATGGTTGAGTGGCAAGTGAAGTTGAAGTTTATGCTCCCTTTCTTCAGTCTTTCAGTCACTGTAGGACTTTGAACCACAAATTGGCTCTGGCAAGCATCCAGGTTCAAGGATTCAACATACGTGCGAAGACTCTTCTGCTCCGTTGGGCACAGGGACCAGCCTCACGCTCCTTTTCGTTGCGACTAGCCTGTGTTGCGCATGGACCAAGCGGCGTTTATGCTCCTTGGTGGGACTTGCCAAGGTCTTCTTTGCGCCCCATTTTTGCCAACTTCCCACTCCTAGTGAACCCTGCTTCCCGCTTTTTTTAGGAACCAGGGTCTCTAGGTCTTGAGTTCTGTTCTTTCAAACCACTGGTGCTCGGGCATCTAGATCCACTTGGGACTCTGCTGCTCAGCTTTCCGCACTAAGGCTCCAGCATGTCTCAGTCTAAATGCACTTCATGAGACCTGGCTGCCGTTGCCGGAAATCACATCTTCGAAGCACCACTTTTGCGGAAACGATGTTTTGAGCAATCAACCTGTTGAAACGCCAAACCAAGCCCTTTGTTACTAGATTTACTAGCAGCGTCCTTGCTCCTAGTAGCGGTGCCCTTTGTTACTAGCCATATTTCCAATACGTCTGAACTTCTTGAACCAAATCAGCCGATCCAGCCGACCCGATGCCGTTCCAGCCCGCGGGCTCCGAGAATTCGCCCAACCTTCGAGCGCTTCTCCGAGAATTTGCCCTCCTGTCGAGTCGAACGTAAGGAAAAGGGAGCAAAAAGGCTCAAAGGGGAGGCCTCAAAACGGTCGTCTCCTTCCATGGACAAAAAAACAAGGATAGGGAATGACATGACACATATGGGAGGCAAATAACGGAAATACGAGATCTCTTTCAAAGGCGCATGGCAAAGCCAAACAAGATCGAAGAAGCTGAAGTGATCCTGACCAAGAAGCCTTCCGATGGTGGAGTCAACGTTATAAATACAGCTTTTGACGATGGCATCTCCGTTCCTGCCTGAGAGTTCCGCCTGGCCGGGCTGAGTCCGCGGGATCCCGTGAGTCCGTGGGATCCGAGGGGATCCGAGCGGTGAAGAGCCCGATTTGTCCAACTGCCCAACGCAATGTCACCATGCCACCAGACTTGTCACGAGAGTCTAGTCAAAGCGCAATGAGACATCTGGCTGTACAATGTCCAAATGTATCGATTCAGGGTAGTTTCGCGGTGAAAAGCAGTCTGAAGCCGACAAGTTGTGGCAAATTCGCTGCGTCACTGTCCGATTGCCTGGGCAAGGAGCACGGAGAAGACTTCAACTTCAGTCTGTTGGTACAATGGAGGTGCATCAAAGTCTGTGACTTGGTGACCCCGTAGAGGATTCATTTCCAGCTTTTCAATGTTGTTGCAAAGGTTCCTAGTTGGAGTCATACCATGTCATACCCACGAATTCAACCAGTTCGGCACTTCCACGAGCTAAAAGATCCATTGGCAATGATATGGTCGGAGGCTCTGATCGTTAATGAGGTGCTGTAAAGTTGCCCGTGAAGCTACGTTGTAGCCCTCCTTGAGCGTGTCGTACAAGGATGCCAACGTGGGTCCTTACGCAGCGAACCATCCGCATTGGCACAAGTGGACCCACCTCTGCACCTGGAAAAACAAATCAACAAAAAACATAATGTGGAGTTCCATGTGGGGGTGTTTTTGGGCCACATCCAGTGAGTGGATGTGACAGGGGCACCCCCTATAATGCAAGGGAAGCCTGGCAATCTCATTTTTGTTCTAACTGAGAATGTCTCCTTGGAGCTTCGAGAGCCGTGATCCGGCTGAGATCAGGTGTCTTCCACGCTTGTCAGTGCCAGCCTGACATCTCACATGAATCCAAGGAGAACCGAAAGCAATCTGGCATCCAAATACTGTATATGAATCATCCCATTTGAACACCGAGTTTTGCTCTGCAAGCGTTTTTAAGTGTTTTTAGGTCCAGTTTGCCAGTTTCTGGAGGATTGGAGTTGGAGATGGACATTCCACCCAGTTGGAGATGGACTTTCAGGGAAGATCTAGGCTTCAATCATCTTCAATCTGATATTGTATGGGGGTGTTTCCAGGGAGGCATGGGAGGCTGAGAATGTACCGACCATAGTGTTGCCCTATGCGGCCCGGGACTTGACACAGGCGTCCATCGCTGACCGCATCGACATGGTGTTCAAACAAGCCAGCTTTGCCCAAGTCACAAAGACTCGTAGGTTGCAGGCTGCAGGCGTGCCTGCCATTTCATCGTGTGAACTCAGATCCAAAGACCCTTTCATGTGTTCTTTGTACCTGAAAAGATCAAATAGATTGGGACTGGAAAAGGCTTAACCTTCTTGGGCGGCAAGTGGCACTTGTGTTCGGCAGACCCGAGTTGTGTCAAAGAAAAACATATACCCGTTTCGCCACGACGCATGTACCTAGGAGGGCCAGAAGATGCAGTGAAACACTGACTAGTCCAGTGCCTGTGCAAAAGTCAGGCCCTTCCCCGCAAGTGCCTGCGGCACATGACGGAGCCGAGCACCAAACAGAAGATCGTCAACAGTATATATATATAATATAAGGACAACGCCTTGCTGGAAGAACTCGGATCCCTCCGTAAAGTTCTCTGAAGTCAAGCCTCAAAGGCCAATCTGACAATCACGATGTGCTTTTTTCTTTTGCTGGTGAGCATGATCTTCCATGATCTTCCATGATTCCTACATCTCGACTCAGTGGGCGACTCTGGCTGCTCTTCATGCACTTGCTGGGGGAACAGCCTCGGGTCACCCCGAAGCACCAAGACAATGGCCGAAGCACCGAGACAATGGCCACTACAGGTGTTGTCCCAGGCAAAGGAGCTCACCTCCATTCCAAGGGCCGACCAATGGCAGCCGTTGCAACCCTTCAGAATTCAAAAGTAACATCTAAAGCAATTGAATGCATTAATGACGCGCCTGGGCAAACAACTGAAATAACATCACTGGACCGAACAAGAGAGGAGCTGCCAGCTGCCGAAAGTGGTTGATGTTGCTGAACGGATTGGCAAGGCCGACTGGATGATACTGGATGAACCTACTCATGGTGGCCTGGCCATCCCGAAGATTCACCACCAAATTGGTGAGCCTTGGTCAATACACTCTCCAAGAGTCGCTGGCCGATTGAAACGATAGATGATTTGTAGATATGTGTAGTATATAGAGTATTGATTATGTATGATTTTTTGTATGGTTGAATTGTGATTTGTTCCAGGAATGAACAGCGCTTGATTGTTGTTACCCAGCCACTGCAGGAATGGGACAAATCCCAAGCTCTCAGCCAGGATCGATGCCTTTGAAAACGTAAAAATGACTCCCATTCTTTGAGTTCGCTGCTGGGCTACTCCGGTGGAATGCGCATAGATCTGAGGACAACTCACTTCATGTCCTGTCACCGTCCGTCACGTCGGACGCCGACCGACGACCGACTTCGGCATCTCTGAAGCGCGGCATGCATGCATCTCATGCTCGAGGGGCGTCGTTCTCCCCGAAGAAGCAAACCAGTCCATTCAGAAAGCGACAACATACATCAACTACCGATAGCTTTACACTATATAGAATCACTCCGTTCGTATGCAACAAGGCATGTTACATGTTCCTCGCTCACATACGAACACATCACCTCCTCCCGGAGACTCGGTTCCTCGTGATGGTCTACCTGGTCTATGCCACGTGATGCACGGTCACCGGTGGCCCGGGCGTCACCGCTCCTCGCAACTCCACCTCGCTGGCGTTGCTGCAGTCCAAGGGGCCCGAAAAGCTGCCCGTCTGGGAGTTGGCCACCCACCTGAGGAATCCAACACCGGCCGTCCCGTCCCGAGGGTGGGATGGACTGAAAAAGAGCTCTTGATGATGGTTGCTTCTTGATTTGGATCTATTTGCATGATGTCTCGTCATTATATATATAAATATATATAATTCTTCCCTCCCTTAGGGGGGCCCTCCTTAGGTTCCTTTAGCTTTAGATCTTGTTGCGATAGCTAAGCTGCTAAGTTGTGGATAGGTCAAGGTGGATGGAGGAAGACCTTCTCAGGGCTTTTTGAGTCATGATAGAAGGTTTTGCCTAAAATTCCCAAAAAGCGCTTCAGAGGCTGGGCAGCGGGCGTATAGAGCGGATCAGACGGTGAGTCCAAGGCAAACTGCTTGGATCCCTGCCAAGCAAGCTCTTGTTTTTGATCGGTCTTGGCCGGTCCTTCTTGAAAGGGTGATAATTAGAGAAAACCAACCGGCTTTATGATCCTGAAAGGTCCCGACAATGGTTTGACATTGGTTCCCAATGACATCCAATGACACCAATCAGCATGAGCCAGTTCAGTGCGGGCAGCGCCAGCCTGCAGGACCAGTTCAGCAGATTCTTCAACCTCAGAGTGCCAGCTCAGTGGTCGGCGCCGCACCTAGACTCCAATTCTAAGGCTTGACCCCCCCCCCGGGCAGGCCCTCACCTTGATCTGGAAGACCATCTTCTTCACGGGGTTTGTTGAAAGAAATACACCTCAGCTGCAGCTTTGCTGGTTCAAACGGGGCATCCAAACGTTCTCCCTGAGGGCATGGCAGAACCAAACGTTATCCCCCACAGCCTCAGAGACGTGGCGAAACTCATGCTTAAACCAGTAGTGAAACTCCGTCGCGGCCTGGTGAAAGGAGGTGCTGCTGCGGCTTCCGTGGCACAAAGAAACGCATGGAGAGAAACACAAGAATGGCCATTGAGCTCCTAGCCTTGGCTGAATCATCTTCTACATAGCATGACAAAGCCTTGGTCATTTACCAAGGACCCGTGCGGCCCAAAACACCTGCGGTCTGAGCCCAGGGAGGGTCTACGTCTACGTGGAGGCTGGTCTCATCCGTTGGGCAAACCGTCTCCTGGATGGTCCAACACTCCAAGCCTGCGGGAGTTTGGCCAATCCTACTGTCAACATCATATGTCTCAATCATTAATATAAACAACAAAACATGCAGCCTAGTATATTCAATCTATTTTCATTCAATTCTAATATATTCAACATATATGCATATTCCTTTACTCCATTTACTTTTCCTCTGTTTCCTCTGGTCCCCACAGGTCTCAGAGATCCGATACGGCACGACTTCGTGAAACACGACACGACACGACTCGTCACACGACGGCAGTGATGCCCAAGGCGATGACCCGCAGCAGCGCAGGACACACTGCAAGGAGCACAAGAAGCAGTGGACACCTGCTTGCAAAGCCATGAGGGGACAGAACCTATCATGCAAAAATAGAAAACATATCAGTAGAAAATAGTAGAAACACATTGTATACCATTCCCATTCTCTGTAGATCAAATAGATTTCAGATATGTTCAATTGCATTCAGGCCTCTTGGTTTGCTGCAATCGTACCTGCTGGCCCCCTATTGGGACCTTCAGCATCACATGTTTCATCACCGCATGGCCTCGCCTTGTGGTGCCCATCGGTGAACGAAGGCGTTCCAAGGCGTAGGAGTGAAGACCCTTTACAAACCTAGAAGCGATTGGACGCTCTTAGTAGCTCCTGGCATCGCTACTAGGAACAAGAAGTTACTAGTAGCAGGGGCATCGCTACTAGGAGCAAGCACGCAAGGAAGTGATGTGCTTGTTGTGATTGAATTGTATGGCTAATCGGCGGCCCTAGCCATTGGCTGTATGGCTGCCCTATTTTCTGAAACAATGGTTGTAAGCAGCCATAGCTCTAGGGTTTTAGGCGTATTTTATCTTTGGGCCTTTTTGAACCCTGCCCAAATATTCTCTCTGTGCCTTCCAGAGAGTGACAGTGAGTGTGTTGATATGGACCCCAGCCACATGGACCGTCGATCCTGGATTGTGTCGTCATGTGATGTTTTTAGATATGCTCGAAATGACCGTGACCCTTCGATCTCCATGGTATATTGCTCAATCGAACTACCATTTCCATGTGCTTGAGCAAGACTGTGCAAGCAGTCACACCAGCTTCCAATGCCAACCCAAAAGGCCAAAGCAAGAATTGTTTGGCATATTTGAAGTTGACGAAGCAGTGAAAGCATGTACAATGTACAATGTAGAATTGAAGGGTTTCCCAGCAGCAAATTAGAAAAGGAATCGTGTAGCAGGCACAGCAAAGAAATCAAGCCGGGTGGTCAATTCAAAGTCTCTGTACATCTGCAAACACCAGTACCTGGGAGGGCGTGATGTGAAGAGGATTACAAAGGGTTTCGGATTCAGAGAACGAATTGGTGAGAAGTAGCATCATGCTGTGCCACTTGTCTTGGGCGCACCCACAGGCGACAAAGCACATCCTGGGCTGAGTGCTGAAGGCGCAAGCAGGTGGCGTATCAATAAAAGCTGAGAAAACATGAGCGCAAAATAGAGCAAATGATATCAAATGATAAAAGCCCGTCGACGACCTTTACAATTTAAACTTTTCCCAATAAACCTGAACATAGAGTATGACATAGCATGACGCAATTGAACAATTGTCTAGCCACATGCGAGAACAAATACTGAACAGGAAAATATCAGAACACAAAGTGCAAGCGAGCTACGCGATATGTAGCAGAACAAATGTTGCAGCAAAGACCATGAGTTCAGAAACTTCATGTTCTTCTGCGTCGTCATCCTGGCAACAAGTCGACCGGAGAAACTGGGCGGCAAATAGCAGCTAGCATATCCAGTGCTCCTAGATCCACGGCTGAGGCATGCTGTGCTTGCTTTAAAGCACACACCGGAAACACCGTGCTGTTCTCCCAGTGGTCAGCCACCTTTACTTCAACTTGCCGATGCTTCCAGAACTCAAATCAGCGATACAATGCCCTTTTCAGTGTATCGCTGGTGGTCCAAACTAACTTGCCTGTGCATCAGGATGATGCACATAGAATGCCTGCCGCCAACTATCGGAATGCCTGGCGAGTTAGTCAGGCGACAGAAAGCACTCTTATGTTTGAGTCCAGTCCACAATAATTCGAATACGCTATAACTTGACAACTTGACATCGACATTTGACACAGCTAGGCCTTTTCCATGTCCAGCTTTTACGAGCAACAACCTGAATTGTTACCTTCTGAGAAAGTGATTGGACACTATTAATGTAGGCTCGGAGGGCCCAGTCGTACCTTCTGAGAAGGTAGGTGGTTAATAATCCCACCCAGTTTCAATTGGCGCACCAATATGCTGAAGCGCACCACTGGTTTTTTGACACATGCTGAGACACTGAGAACCGCTCCGGAGAGCTGGATGTGGAAGGCTCTGATTTCTGTGCAAAGTGAGCCTCAGCAAGGCCCTCACGCGAGGCCTGCCTCCACCGTCAGACCAATCGGTGGGACGTCGGAATGGGACGTGATGTGACGTGGTGGGACACGGAATGCTGTGACAAGTCACATTTGCAAATGGTGCCACCTATGTAACATATGGATACATATGGCACATCAAGGTATCGATCGTTTTTGATTGGATCTTTAGAAATGGTTCTGATCTATTCTGAAGAAAGAACTGACTTCTGCCTCTGAACAAGAAGGCTTGGCTACATGCCTTCTGAACTGATTGTTACAACACGATGAACCGCCAACACCGTGGGACGCTCCAACGAGTCCGCTCAGGACGCCTCTCATCCGATCGGTCCATCGGATTCTATCGGTCGCTCGGTGCTGGGCTTCCTCAGCGGACTGGAAGTGGAAGAAGTCCTGACTGGGCTGCTGGCCGGGCAACGCCACCGAATCGGTTGATATGTTTATATAAGAATTTTTAAGACATCTGTTGAGGGATCCCTGCTTCATGTCCGATCCGTGTCGGATGCGTGGCTCTGGAGGCTCTGGAGGGCCTAAGCGGCCTAAGGCCATACAGGGAATCAGGATGAATCAGTTAAACCTGGGAATTGTCGAGTTGAGGAATGTTTCTAGTTGAGATTCCGAAGTCCCATGGCCTCAGCACTCCGTCCTTGGGCTCTGCTCCTCTGCATCGAGCCAGTGCCCCGAGACCTGACGGTGAGGGCGCACAGTCTACACTGGAGGGCGAACGTTGAGAACGAGGTGCAAAACAAACGTCTGGTGCATCAACGAGACTTCGTAGCACGGTAGAGCAGGGGAGATTCCGAAGTTTCTGAAGCATCAGAATGATGCAAACACGTGCAAACCACCAGTCAACAAGCTGAGGTGGCCGCAGTGTACTTCCTGGGCACAGGCAGGTGATCATGGAAGGCAACAAAGCTGACAGCTTTGAATAGTCTATTAGGCTCTGATGTAAGTTCCTTACGATGCGATAGAGGGTTGGCTTGGGCTTTCCTGAGCTCAAGAACGTCCATAGTGATCCCAATTGGAATTGAACGCATCATCTGATTCACATGAGCTGGAACATCCCCCAAGCTCTAGAAAGCTTTATTGTTACTAGTAGCGATGGGCTCCAACCTAATAGCGATGGCCTCCACCTAGTAGCTTGTAGCTACTAGAAAGCTTCAAAAACATACTAAAAAGCTTCTTGTTACTACAGGTGAAACGATTCCCAGTGAAACAATTCCCAAGGAAGCTTTGAGCTGGAACAACCCCCCAAGCTCTGGTCCGTTTCAGCACCAAGTGAGCCCAATCCTTGGACATTTCTCACAGCGCCGGTGCAGGAAGGGGAAGATTGGCCATGGCTGGGCACCCCGAGCCGTAACCGAGAAGGCCAAGCCTGGTGCACCTCGGTGTTTCTGGTTCTTGGAAGCTAACTTGAACTTGAACACCATACACTGTTTTCATTGGCCGAGGCTATTTGGAAGCAACTTTGTATGAGGATAATCAGATAATCTTGAAAGAACGCCGGTGTATATGGTCTACTTCACATCGTTTGGACGATACATGAGACTATCTGTGTCTAGTAACTGTGGAATTTACGCTGAGATGGAGTGTATTTTTTTAAGGCCCCAACCGAGCGCCCATGATGAACCTGATGGCGAGGGTGGAACACAATGACCCTCAAATGCCAAGTGCCAAATGCCCCCCTTCAGAACGGCGCATCTGTCCAACAGATTCTTAGTTAGGTGCGCACATGGCCTCAAATCCTCTTTTGTGGGGGGTGGCAAATTGCGCTAACCATGGTGGTGGTTTCACGTACAGCCACAGGCATCCACAGCAGGGATCATGTTGGCCGCTCTTCCGAATGCCGGGCCTTCTTCAACTGCACGACTTTGTTGCCATGTTGAAGCTTGGCTATATAACTCGACTCAGTTTTATAAGGTTGCCAACCAAGGCTACTCTTGCTGAAGCTGCATGGCTTAAGCTAGGATGAGTGGCTTGATCTCAAATGATCTCAGCACCAACAGAACAAAGGTAATTCATGCTGATTCATGATTATACTTGATGGTACAAGATGGTACAAGTCAAACCGCTAGAATACACGGCACAAGTATCATTCCCTTTCATATTCTCTGTCTGGTTCACTCATGATCTATGCTGGGAAACGGCTAGTTTTGAGCCTCTGTGGCTTGGTTATTGGGTGCTAAGTGGGACCAACAAGCCACAATGAAAGGTTTGATCGATTCAATATGAAGCAACATTTGAAGGAAGTCTTGAACGCATTTGAGCTCATGCAGACCTCCCTTTCGAACTAGACTTTAATGGAGGTTCAAAGCATCAACAGAACAACTCCAACTTGCGAATGACACCAACCATGGCCGAATCTACGGCTAAGCCGGTTTGTTTTTAAGTTCTCCAGCTTCAAACGGCTTCCTCTGTCACGTGAAATCCTTGCTTCAAACCGTTCCACGAGAACCATGCTCGCATCTTTTCTTTCTGAGAGATTCCTGCTCCGCCTCACTGGAATCTCACCAATCTGGCGTTTTCAGATCAGATTCTAGATGAAGCTGAACGGAACACAGCGAGTCATAGAGCGCCCAATGTTTATCGTTAGACCGAAGCAGGGTGATCAAACCACTAAACCCAGGAAGTCAAATCAACAGAGAAAATACTGATCCAGGTCCTAGGTACGATTCCACTGTTCGGATCATGCGTCTCGCAATGTCTATTCCTGTGGCACACAAGTACATACAACACAATACAACTTATCACTTATGGCTTCAAACGAAGTTTGACAACCAACATTAAAGACTTTAGCTTGCCAATTTCAATACTAGGCTTCTTCAACAAATCAACAAACCCCTTCATCCATCATGCGTCCACCTCCGCCAGGTCCACTGTTGGTGTTTTCTGGCAACGCCTGGGCCAGGAATCAGCTCAGGTACCGTCTACAAACAGGTTGCATGGAGCATGGGATCAAAGGTCTTGGTGACACAAATTACAGCAATACTTTAATCCATGGAAGTCTTGTTGTCATTGTAGCATGAAACAACACTATACTCTTTTCTTGGAAGTGGACACTCACACCACGCTGCGAAACGCATCACTCACACCAAAGCGACCTGTTTCTCGACCTGTCCAGGTGCCAACGCTCTCGCCCAGTCGTCGTTTGTGGCGACCAAGGACTCGACCCACAGGGGAATCGGCGGCGTCTTGGGTGGGGGGTGGAAGTACGGCCGAGCGCCACGGAGGG